GTCCCTGGGGGAATGAGGGGATAACGGGGCGGGGGGGTTAGGGGGAGGGCACGGGAGGAGGGGAGGGAATGGGAGAGGGACCTGGAACTGACTTGTGAAGCAACCTCGTTTCTTATCTAAATTTAAACTGGAAAAAAAAAGAAAGTTATTTGAATGCATGTTAAACATTAATGTAATTTTTGAAAGGTTATATCTGATTTTTTTTACCAAAATAAATCTGGAGAATAAAAAAATAAAATAAAATAAAATAATTAAAAAAGAGGTCTTTGTAAAGCTCATATTTTATTTCAATGCATTTAGCAATCTTTTGATAATGTGGTAACATTCTATGACATAATGTTTCATAGCATTTTAACCTTACAACTTTGAATTCAGTCAGAATTTTTCAAAACTAAGAAGGCATTTTAAAATACCATTTCCCCTTTGAAGACTTGATGCCACATTAAATTTTCTCTGTTGCTGTGAGCAGAGCATACAGGGGTAGGAGAGGAGTGAGCATGAGAGTGTGGCCTAGGCTGTCTGAGATGGGAAAGTTCCGGGTGGTAACAGCTCCCCACTAGCTGCTTTAGAGGAGCTGAAAAACACTGTTGCAACCACATTTACAACATAAAAATATCCCCCAAACAAATGAGAGCATTTATTTTGGGTTTTGAATCTAATGTAACTCATTTGTGTGAAGTAGACCAATGGTGTTTCATGTGAACTCTTTCATTAACAGCAGGAGATTGACAGTGAAGATCATATTAAGTACCTTGGTCATGATTTTCTGTGTGTCAGTATGCTCTTGCCCAAAACAGAAGACTGAAGACCACAGTGCAAATGTAGCTAAATGGTCCACCCAGGAGATTGTTTTTTTCGAAGTCTCTTTAAAATCTGTTAGATTGTAATGTCTTAACATCAGATAGACTAATAAATATTACTGCACAATTTGACATTCATATTGGTGAACAGCACTTAGAGGAAAGAAAAGTATCTTATATTTAGTGTCCTGCATAAAATTTATAGTCTACAGGGGGTTCTAACCATGTGAAATTTTGCTTAGTAGCTCTGTTGTGTCCTTAATTGCATTATTCTAATTTTCTCAACATTAAAAAAAATACCAGTTTGCTTGTGCACTGATGTTGTGTACCAGAAGAAATTATTACCTAATGTCTAATCTAGCATAGCTATCCTGCTTATGTACAGCTAAAGGGATTCAATTTGGAAAGACAGAAAAATTCTAAACCCTATTTAATGAATGTCATTTATCTCTGCCATTTATAGTTTTCATTGCATTCTAAATAGATTATGAAATACAGTCTCAGTATAGACTAAAAGACATCAGTGTACTCACTTGGTTTTGTTAAATTTCAGAATTTGGCCAAATATACTCTAATTACTTTTTAAAGATTTACTCAATTACTTTTATTTCTGCATATGTGTGTGTGCCTGCATGAGTTTATGTGCAGCATGTGCATGCATATTCCCGGGGAGGCCAGAAGAGGTTGTCAGATCCCTTGATGCTAGAGATGATTGTGAGCCTTTGATACAGGTTCTGAGAACCAGACATGTGCTGGAACAATGAAGAAATTAAGCAACTGATTATCTTTTGTGTAGCTCTCATTCTCTTGTTTCCTAGATGAATTGTTATTCCAGTGTATTGTTTCTAGTTTCCTCAAAGTTTGGTGTATTACATATTGTGTATCCTTTTAAGGTATGGTGAGATTTTGTATATGAAGTTGTGATTATTTTTATAAATGATACCAGAAGTTAGACAAACTTAGTAATACTAAATTTTAGAATTCTTTCCTAAATTTCTGTTGTCACCCAACTTTTACATTTTTAAAATACAACCATATTAATAGATCAGAGATTAAGTTTCATACATTTCTATTATAGTATTCTCTTGTATGATATGAGAATTTGGACAACTGTGCGCATATCTATAGGATGTAGTCATCACAAAATATTCTTATTTCTAACACCAAGTGCATAGTTGTTAGTTTTGCATTGAAGACCAGGGTATGATAATTAGCTTGGAGGACTCATTAAAAGTTGGTATATAAGTCAGGCAGTGGTGGCTCACGCCTTTAATCCCAGCACTCGGAAGGCAGAGGCAGGCGGATGTCTGTGAGTTCGAGGCCAGGCTGGACCAACAGCCTCCAAAACAATACAGAGAAACCCTGTCTCATAAAAAAAAAAGTTGGTATATAATAATTTATAGGGCAGAACACTGAGGAATTCCAAATGTATACTTTCTAGCATGTTTCCTCACTGAAGAATCAGAGTTTTCTGCCTTTCCAAATGCAGGTATATGACCAAGAAAACTCATTTGAGCATCATTACTCCACTTTTTTAAAGTTTAAAAGCTTAAACATTTAGGCATAACTTCACTTGGAGCTGAGGTCAGTTCCCAACCCATTGGAGTTGAGTTGATATTTATCAAATGACCAAAGCTCTCACCCCTAACCAAACTGTGGATCTGACCACCCCATCCTAAAACTATCTGGTCCACCCTGCCCTCACTCAAAATCGATTTCTTAAGGCTGTCTGTTGAAACAGTGTCTTTAGGCAAACAAAAACAATCATTTCAGGCATGACATTTAGAGGGCATAGAGATCACCTCCCAGAAGCTGGGGACATTGGCTAGGTCTTAGATCTTCTTTGGTTAAACTAAACTTCTTTATTGTGTATATAAATGGCCATTTATTTTTTTTAAACTCCTCTAGATATTTTGATTTTATATTGGTACATTAAAACACCATTTATGAATGAACATTTAATGTATTTGTAATTCTGTATATCATAAAATTTATAACTTCTTTACAAACATTATTTTGTTTATTCTTCAAAGGAACCCTATGTGAATAAGTGGTATTATAAGACTGGTGAGGGAAATTAGATACAGTGGAACTGATTATCCTGTTTCCATGGTCACACAGCTAGTATGTGGCATAGTTGGCATATGAACTCAGGCAATCAAAATTCTTCCTTAACCACGATGCCTAAAATGTGTACAGGAAGAAAGAAAAAGTTGCATACATCTTCTTCCATATGTATCGCAGGGATTACCTAAAATGTCTACATAGCAATGGGGTTTGCTGCTCTGAAAATGTATGCATTTTGAGATTATTGTACCAAATTGTTATCCTGACTGAAAAATGTAATTACTAATGTATCTATCTGTGCATCTCTTGGTATCTGTGTCTTGCCATTTTAAAAAAATCTTTCTTGTCCACATGTTTAAATGCTCAATGTTACTCGATTTTCTTGATTTTCATGATGAGTTTTAGTTTATCTTTCCTGACTTCATATATCCTTATGTTCTCTTCTAGTTTTGCTTTTCATACTTACGCCTGTTTTCTTCCTGAAATTGATTTTGAACACAATGAGAGATGATTTTTCTGATAAATATAACCTGTTGTCCCTAAGTCTTTAGTCTTTTTCTCACAGCCCATTCTTTACCCCGATACATAGTACTGCTCCTTTCATACACATTTCTATGTTAATTTCCTATTTCTGCTCTAACCGACTCAGTAGGATAAAACAACACAAATTTATTATCTTACATTCCTGGAGGTCAGCAGTCTGAAAGAGACCAGCGGGACTGCATTCCTTCTTAGGGCACGAAGGAAGGTTCTGTTCCTTTCCTTTTCTAGTTTAAAAGGCCACCTGCATTCTTTGGCATGTGGCCACCTCATACAAACAGCATCACTCTGACCTCTGTGCTCGTCTGCACATCTCTGTATCTGACTTTAACCTTCCTGCTTCTTCTTTTGAAGACCCCTGTAATTGTGTTGTACTCACCAGGATTATCTGATGGTAGGCAGCTCAATGTAATATACATGTAAAGTCCTTTACTATGGCAGTGTAACGTGTCTCTATGTCTGACATTAGGGTACGGACATCTGCTGGTGTTCTATTCAGCCTACTGTAGTTACCTTTCTGATATCCCATTGTTCTTTCTCACATTTTGATTAATTCATCTTAAGCACACCTATAACCTCTACCTAATAATTCTATCTGAATAAGGTTTTATGGGTTTAATTCCGCTGATAAATTGTGCCTGCTAATTCTCACTCAGGGCTTGATATATTTCTGTGTAAATTTGGTTTTTAAATCATTGTGAGACTATAACCTTCCAAAGTCTCATATGGCTCTAGTTGAAGTCCAGGATAATCATTTGCCCAAAGCTACTTTTCTTGATGTTCTCTTTTTAATGTGTGTTTTGGATCATTTAATGGTGCAATTTCAAATTTTTGATGTTAGTGAGGGTGGAAGCTTGGTTGTGAGTGCAGAGGTATAAGCTTCGTCCACCCCGAGTTTCAAGACAAATCAGCATTGTGTCACCCCACCACACCCCCCTGTGCTCCCCTAATAATGAGTGCACTTCTTAGGTCATTTTACTCAAGTCTTGTCCCTTAAATCATCATTGCCATGAAAGATGATTTCCTTTTCTGCTCAGATCTTAAGGCTTGCTCTCCCTATATGAGTGTTTAATCTCTTAGTACATAGGTGACTGAAACAAGCACACTGCTTACAACTTCTGCTGCGTTAACTCAAACCATGTTCTGAGTTTTCAGTTCCTAGTTAGTCTTGGCTCCTGGAGATTTTGCTTACCTCTGTGGCAGGTGACCTCTCCAAAAGCCCCCTGAAGTCTTCTTGCTCCCTCCTTCTCTGCTGGTTTGGTTACTGCTGTGGTTCAGGAATTCTTGCAGCACCCCTGGAGGTTATCTGTGCTTTATGCCCCTTAGAAACGCAGGAGCTGATTTTAGGGACACATTTAACTCTTACATAGGGATACAATTTTAGATATCAGTATCATATTATTGATCATGATCCCTTTGTTGCATAAAGAAGTTGCTAATATTACATCTGAGAAAATTTTAAATGGATAGTGAAAATTATATATTACCAGATTTCTTTTTATAATACCAAATGCTATGTATAAGTTAACTAAATATTGTTACCTTAATTTCAACTCAATTATTCTAATTCTCATTTTTCTTTTCTCTTTCTAGAATGTGTGCTGTGTTTGGTGGAATCTATTGTCTTCGCCATTCTGTACGGTGCCTTGTAGTGGACAAAGAATCCAGAAAGTAAGGGTGCTATGAGTAACCTTCCTATATTTATACACCAGACATGGCTGAAAACACAGAAGTTGCTTTATAGAAAGTGGTTCTTGAATGATACTCCTTGGTATTAATAACATATCAACCTTGATTAAAAGTAATTTGTGTTTAGGTCTTCCAGAACAAGGAAAGTGAGTTCAGAATATAGAAACTAAATTAATTTCCCTGCAATATGACTGTAGCTCCTGATCATTCAAGCTTGGAAGACAAATCATTTCAGCTGCCGGGGGTAGGTGATGAGTGATGTTAGTTTTCCTTGTGGCCTTACCTCCTCTAATTGATTTTCATCAGATGACAACAAAGCCCTCTGTTATTGCATTTTTAAAAATGGAGCTCACCTAAAGACTCATCAGATTAATCTCTGCTGATAATGCATGTCACTTCAAGAGAAAAGACCTTAATGAGTTTTTAGGTAGATTGTTGTCATAAACTATGCTGCCCTGTTATCTGAGAATAAATTCTTTTACAACAGAATCAAGCCTACAGACTGGTAGAGGATTAAAGTAAAAAATTTACCTGCTTTATTAGAATAGCTGAGCACCATCTATTTACCTCTAGTTTGTATTTTAATTATTTTTTCTAAGGTTATTATTATTTGCTAATATATACTGTTGTCTGAATTAAATTCAGTAAAATGCCATTGTACAATTTCTACGTTTTGCCTTGAAACAGAAATAGTTCAACTGGATGATGTTTTAAGAGCCATTGAAATTGCTGTTTCTCTTCTTTCTTAGATGTTCTCAAGTACCTATTGATCTGTAGTTCATAGATGACTATTTTAGGAGTGTATTAAAAATAGTGTTGTTGAAATTATCAAGTGCCATAATATTTGTAAATAGAATCTTATGCAGCTTGGTTCTTTATGCAGTAATTGTGTACAATCTAAGTGGAATAAACTGGTCATTAATTTCTCATAGGTGAGTTACAGTGTTATAAGTAATTAATTTAGCTAAGATTTTATGTTATAGATAATACATAGTAAATTTGCAGTTCTGTGATGTAAAAATTGACACATGACCTAAGATTCTTATAGATTTTCTTTTGCAACTGAATAGCATCATACTGTATAAATAACAGAAATGATAATATAGAATGAACCATCCCCAAAGGCTCAGGACATTCAGATTTTGACTCATGAAGAACTCTATAAGTTCATAAAAGAGTAGTTCTTATTCTTCCCAGTTTGTTTTTCCTTTTACAGTCATTTTGAAACAAGAATGCTTTCCTGTGACAGAAAGCAAATAATGAGCTGCTGTTTGGTGTTTATTTGCTTAGATCATTTTTATACTCTTTGGGCACCATTCCAGTACCACACGTTGGTCTCAGTGACTGGTCTCAGTGACAGGAAAGATTTGCATGGCTCATATTTCTTGTTTGTGATCTCTCTCTCTCTCTCTCTCTCTCTCTCTCTCTCTCTCTCTCTCTCTCTCTCTCTCTCTCTCTCTCTCTCTCTGGTTGTGCTAGTATAGTAATAGCATTTGCCAAATTAAAGACTACATTTACCTTACATCTGACTTACATTTTTATGAAATGTTCTAAATGAAGGATCTACTTTTATGAACTTACACAGATTCTATTTGGAACATATGCATGAGAACTAATGGTCTTAGAAACCATAAAAACCTCCAGACGGGTAATTTTAAAACTATAAAGTGACCAAGAAAACTGAATTGAGTAAATATTGTTTTAGACACTACCGGAATTAAGTTTCTGTTGGGTTGGTTTGTTTGGTATTTTGAGACAGGTTCTTGCTGTGTACCCCAGGATTATAGGTTTTTGTTACCACTTTTCGATGGGAAACTGTAGTTATAAGCAACACCTCGGAGAGTCTAATATAAACCGTTCTCAGGTGACACTGAGAAAGAGTGACCATCTCTGTAAGGTAAATTTAGAGAATTAGGCAAAAGTACTGTGTTCTGTGATGAGTTTGGGGAATGAGAGAGGCAGATCAATGCTGTGAATGGTAGCGAGTTCTGTTTTGGGCTCATTCCTCCATCTGTAAGATAGTTTAGAAGAACGCAGCAATAATCATTGAGTCTTCCAGAATTTGCCTGATGTATTAGTTCCATTAGATGATATTGGAAAGTACTTTGGTGGCTCTTCCTTAACATTTAGAAATGATCTTAAAATAGTTCATACACCTAAATGTGGGCCAGTAGTCACATCATTGAGTAATGAGAAATTATAAACAAATTGAACAAATTATATCTGTTTTTATAAACAAATAACATGGTGTCTATTTATTTGCTTAATCCCCAGTTTATCAATGAACATCATTTTTCTTATCTATTGGTGTTTTTGTTTGCTTGTTTGATTCATTGATTGGTTTTTGTCTTTTTGAGTCATGGTTTCTTTGTGTAGCCCTGGCTGTCCTGGAACTTGCTCTGTGACCACGCTGGTCTTGAACTCACCAAGTTCTGCCTGCCTCTGCCTCCTGAGTGTTGGGATTAAAGTTGTGTTCCTCCACTGCCTGGCTCTTTCTTGTTTTTTTATTCCCGTTTTTGTTTCTTATACAACCATTTTAGATATGGCATGTAATTTTCTTACTGAAACATTTGTTCCTTCCAAGTTTTAACAATTTATCCCATAATAATAGTATAGTTTTCAATCTTGGCTTGGAGTGGTTTGATTCCTGTTTTTTTTTTTTTTTGTCACCTCACTGTATGAGTCATTTAAGTGATCTTTAAAGTTCTTCCTTGGGAAACATGGAAAAATAAAAATGAAAGCATGTAATATTTTAAAATTGAAAATGTGTACCTCTAATAACAATGACCAAGTTTATGTAAATATCAAAAGCTATTTTAATTTAAGTTGGTTTCAGGCTATTGTATCTTTCCTGAACATTGTTCTCATTTAAGACCTACTATTTTAGAGAAATACCAATAATATAGGAGCTATATTGTGAAGACCTAAAAAGTACAGGATAATTTTGTTTAAACTCCTGATCTCATAGTTGAGTATATCCAACATCTGTTTATTTTTAAGAACTCTAAGGTGGCTTAGAAAATTGTTTGTTGTAATTATAATCTAAAGCAAGCAACCTCCAAAGGTTTGCATTTGTATTCTTTTAATTTGCCTCTCTTGCTAGATGGAACATTTGACATTAATTCTCCCATTTAGTGTAATTACAGGTTGCCCATACTTCAGATCAGAGTCCTTAAATCTCAGACAGTAGATCAGACCTCCGTGCTAGTCCCCAAGTCAGGTTCCCTAGTGCAATTATTTGATAAATTCTCTGTAGGAAATATAAGATCTTACTAGAATATTTTCATAAATAAGGCTTGTCTCTATCACTTATTATCCTCAGTAACTCTCTAAGAAGTTAATTAATGAGGCTTAGAGTGATGTTAGCTTTGTGTGTGTGTGCTTTGCTTTTTACTTTCTATTTAAGAAAGTTGACAGAAGCATAGAAGACCGCAGCGTTGATGGGGTTGTCCTGTTTACACATTAAAGTGTGAAAGAAACTTTGAGAGAGGAGGCACATGATATTATATTATATGGAATATGTGACCAACTACATCTCTTTGTTTTCCTAGAGCTTATTTTCTTTTTACTTTTTCTTAATTTGCTTTGCCTGTGATGTGTATGACGTAGACTCTCCATACTATGTTACTAAGTTATCTTCTAATCTTCTCCCACCCCAAATTCTGACAATCTACCCTCTGATTGGGTTGTTGTGGATTGGGGGGGTTTGTTTGTTTGTTTTTTGGAAATACTAAAAGCTCTTCTTGAGCAGCTTTCTTTTCTCTTGTAGTTGACTAGGTGAAATTCAGATAAATTAAGTTTGCCTCTGTAGTAGTACAGTATTTAACATGTGGGTATAGTAGCTATGACTTTGGACTAGTAGTCTGTAAAAAAATATGATAATAGTCCTTGTGTTCATCTTCTATTTATACTTTAGCTGTTTAGCTTATTAGATTTGCTGTTAGGATATTTTAGAAGTATTTTTTATGTTTACCTTCCCTGGGTATTTGGATGTTAATAATAGTTTGTCATTACTGAAGTTCTTATTTACTATCTCCCATTCTAGTTGCTATGTTGTGATGTGATTTTTTTTCAAGGGGAAATAAAGTATAGACCCTGTGTGTGGTGATATGTTGTTTGTAGTCTAACAAATAAAGCTTGCTTGAAGATCATAGGATGGAGCTAGCCACTAGTTAACTATAGAGGTCTGGAGGTCTGTACAGACAGACAGGAAATGATATGGCTGGGCAAAGAAGGAATATAAGGCAGGAGGAGACAGTAGCTTGGTCTCTCCTTTCAGCTGAGAAGTTGATGAGGTAAAGTGTGGCTGTGGTTTGCATCTTTGTCTCTCTTGTCTGTCAGCATTTGCCCCTGTATCTGACTCTGTGTTTTTATTATTAAGACCAATTAGAAGTGCTACAATTGTGTCTGTGTATTGGGATTTAAGGGAACAGTCCAGCCTTCAATGTCACATAAACTGTATTTGAATTCTGACATTGCCATTTCTAAGTTCTGTAGAATTAAGCAGGATGTATAACTCCTCTGTGCCCTAGTGCTATTATATAAAACAAGTGTTGTGCCTGACAAAGCATATCTTATAGGGTTCTTATAATATTACCGAGCAGATAAACCTTATAAAACCATTGGTTACACATACCAGTAGTTCAGTACACATTAGTAGTATATGTAATTGAAAACTTTGGCATGCCCTAAAGGAAGGCCTGTTGTGTTCCACCCTTTGCCAATAAGTGTGACTTATTAGCCCCATTTTTCAATGGTGTTAGTAATTTTGGCAGTGGTTTGGAAGAAGAAATGTAGTGCAAAGATACTCTTTACCTCCAGAATCACTCACACAGAATACTTCCAGCATCTACCCATTCCCCCATTCATGAAAGTATTAGTTATTTTCTATGGCCTGGGCCCTGGGAATACAGATGAGAACAAGACAATCAGGATTTATTATTTGTGCAGTTTACAGTCCACTGGACAACATTCTCCAACAATTAATGTAGTCAGGTTATCTTGGGAGTTATATCATCCACAGATCTGGCTCTCCTATGAAAAGGAAATGTAAAAAGCTTCCATGGTTTTTTATCATCTCCAAATAAACTCTAAAGCCTTATAGGGACATCTGGCCGATGCCTGACACTCATTTCTTTCTCCCTCTTCGTTTCCCACCTTCTTGACAGGTACCACTGAAGTGATTGTTAATTTCTGTACCTGAGACATTCTTGTACTTGTTTGCTTAGCTCTGTTTGTTCCTGTACAAACTGTGAATCACTTTGCCCAAACTACATTCCCTGATACTCTGCTCATCCATTCAAGGCTGAGTTAGATAGCTCCGTTATGTAAAGGCCTTTCCTAACTGTTTTGTTTTGTTTGGAGACAGGGTTTTCAGGGTAGTCCTGGCATCCTGGAACTCACAGAGATCTGCATACCTCTGCTTCCTAAGTTCTGGATTAGTAGAGTTTACTACCAAGACTGCTGGCTTGTTTCCTTACCTTTTATTGCTGAGCAGTACTGTCTGTGTCTCCATTATTACCTATTGGAACAGTAGGCTAATTGGCCTACTTGGCACAGATAATTTCCTTATTTTTATGTTAAATAAATGAGGTATCAGCTTTGTAGCAGTCTACTCCCTTATTAAATGCTACCAGAGCCTAAGGCAGTGTCAGTGGTGTGGGAGAAAAGACACTGATTACAAGAAATAAAGGTGGAATACAGTATGGTATGGTATAGTATAGTATAATATAGTGTAGTGTAGTGCAGTGCAGTGCAGTGTAGTGTAGTATAGTAGTAGATTAGATATGAAGAGAGATTTGAGTGGGAAAATTATAATGAGATCATTATTGATAGAGAGATTGCAAGGAAGGAAAGTAGATGTAGGCCATGCCAAAGTAGATATAAAAAGGAAGTAGGTAATAATAACTTCATTGTGTACTTGAAATTTGATAAGAGCAGATATTAAGCATCTTTGCTCCCCAATGGTAACTGGATGTGTTAATTTGATTCTTTTATTCATTATACAGTGTATACATATGTCAAATTATCACATTGTATTCCTTAAATATATATAGTTTTTATTTGCCAATTAGATATTCTGAAGAGAATAAGTAGACCCTATCAAGAAAACAAATTAGAACATAATTAGAAAGATAGATACACATCTATGAAAAGGTCAGAGCAAAAACTAAAAACCCAATTCTGTTAAGGAGTTGAAATGACTGTAGTAGATGTTCACCTGGAAATACCATTGTGAAACATTTTAGAACAGTTTTCTGAAAGATGTAAAATTGGAACTAATGCCTTTGAGAAAACTTACAAGCTATGTCCAATAGGAAGACTTGTTTTGTTTCCTTCCATGCTTAGCAATCTTATCATTTCCTTAACTAACATTTTCCTGTTTTATTCTTTCATTTCTAATTTCCATACTGTGTTATTACCTGGGGTTTTAATTCTGAAGATCTAAGGGACTATATACCTGTTAATACTGTTATTTTCTCTTCTTGGCCGAGTTCAAGAATTTTTGTTTTAAAGTTGCTGTTTTTTTTTTTCTCCCTTATTGTCATTTTGCTATTTATGCTCTTGTTATCAATGAACCAAGAACTGAGTAAGTGCTGTGGTTTGTTGATTTAGAAAGCCTTACCCAAGAAATGCTCTGTCTAGCTTCAGTGATTCTTATGATAAGCTTGGTCATTGTGTCCCTGTAACTAGGGACTCCTATCATGTTCCTTCTCAATTTACTATTTATGAGGCTCAGCAAGGCCCTCTGCTAAGACCGAGATGGCTGTTAATCTTTAATGGCTTCCTCAGGTTTATGTGGGAGGAGGAAGCAGGAGGATATTTTAATGTGTCTGGCAGCACTGTTTCATTTTGTTGTTTTCCATTAAGCGAATGTCATCTAATTTTTATATTAATCTTTATAATACAAAGATTAAGACTAGGTCCCAAATCAATATCCGTTCTTCATTGTTCTCCCAATTAGGCTGAATATATGGCATAAGTCAAGTATCTGAGGGAAAACAAATCTTACCACTTGCTTAACATATCTTGGTTTGCACAGCTTTGCTTAGGGCTACTGCCCCAGTATTTCAGAGTAAGAATAAGACTAACAGGTGAGTCATGTTGTTACCATCTTCCAGACTAAGACTGGGCCTATGTAATAGTCGCCTCACTCTGTACAGATGTGGGTAATTTGTCTCTATCTGTAGCTCTTTACTTGTCTCACTTAGTGCAACATAAACGTGCAGCAGTAGCAGAGGCTTCATTCTGATTCTTTCTTGGGACTTGGAAGCTTATCAGAATCTCCAGGGGTACTTATTATTTGAAGAAGTCCCTCAGGTGTGATTCTGATTTGTTTCCTTCTCCTGCTCCTCCTCCTCCTTTGGAAATCACTGTTTCATCTGAAGCATCTGCATAAACAGGCACATTTACTAGCATCTTATCCCTGCATAGTTGAGCTTGCCTGTGTGTATCCTATCATGTTATTTCCTCTCTCGGTTATCTGCATTAATTCTTTCTAATACTGTAACAACGACAAAAACCTGCTTGCCAGTCCCCAAAGGATCACTATCACTCTTTGGAAGCCAACTATGGAGAAAAGACTCCATAATCTTGAGGGCTAGGTTTATTTCTGAGTTTGCTTGCTTGTTTGTTTGTTTGGTTGGTTGGTTGGTTTGATAATCAGAGCCTCTTCAAAAGTCACTGAGGTTGAAGATTTATATGAAAAGCACTTTTTTCTCAGTTTCATTCCAACATTTTATGATAAAAAGTTTGAAACCCATTGCCAACTTTGAATTTAAAGTGAACACCTCTTACATCTTCTGCTCGGTTTCTGCAGTGAACACTGTATATACTTGCTTATTCATAAATCTTCAGTTATTTACCTCTTGAGCTATCTATTGATTCATCTTTTATGCATTCCACAGTAAACTGCAGATATCACTAAAATTCACCCTAAACACTTCAGTATGGATACCCTGAACTATAGTGCCATGTTTTCTGTCATCCTTTTAGCTATACTTCCAGTTGTGTCCCGACCTTAAGACTCATTAGTTGAGTTTGAACAAAAACCTAAGTTCTTTCAGCATATAATAGCACTTTATACTCCCTTTCATTTGCCTGCCTGCATTATTCCTTCTTCAGTTTCAGTAGCTTCTTAGTTAAAAGTAAGAAATGTTTGCCAGTGGTTACAGGACAAATATAATCACTATGTCACGACAATTCAGCTGTTGTCTCTTCTTCATTCCTTCAAGTACTTTGATTTTTAAATTGCTTTTGGATGCTTTAAAAAAGGAGGTTGAAAAACAAACTTATCTTCCTACTTTTTAAAGGTTATCTTGGTCAGTATTTGGTCAGTCCTTTGTGTTAATTTAGTGAAGTATTTTATAGGTAAGGTGAACTCTTAGTTTAAGGAAATGAAGAGTTGAAGTGTAAGCAAGATGGAGAAGTCATTTAAATATTAATACAACAGATTTATATTAAAATATGCTTAATTGTTTATAACTATCGCATAGCATCACTGGATATAATAGACTAAGCTTCCAGCAGCAGTATGCCATTTATTCAATAATATCAGCAAAATGCAAATTCATTTCCTTTTTGGTCTTAGATGCTGGCCATTTTATTTTAGTTCATATATGCCTGTTTTTTATTTGACTTGTTTAGAGCAATTGAGGATACTTTAATTTATAACAGAATATTTTAAATATCAGTGTCAAATCATTTGCTTGCATTTTTGTGAGGACCAGCATATAAGTGTATTTCTAATAAAATATTTCCTGTACCAAAACAAACTGTGACAAAAAGCAAATTGATATTTCCATAATAAAAAGATATAGCAAACGTATAGTCATTTGCATATAGTTCCTGAAATATTGCATAGTGGCTTTGTCAGTGCTGGTAAGTCCACTTCAAGGATGTCGCTCTTAGTCCATTAGTTTGGATAATGAGCCCTATAAAGTACATTTATAACTTGTGGCACTGCAAGGAGATGGATTCTAATTTTCATCCTTTTATCTAGACACATTGAAAGAAGGTCAATGGAGGGTTCTATATGATTCATTGTCCCAACACATATCAGATGACAGAGACCTGATAATGTCCGTGCATAAGTGTTTTCCTTATTTGGAAACAGCACTTGAAAGAAATCTTTCCATGATTATCCTTTGAAGTAAAGTGGAAACAGATATTAAAAGAGGCTCTATCCCTTTTTTCTGTTTAAAACATTATCAAACGCGTGACCAGATAGCTATTCTTGAACAAAAGAGAAAGCAACACTTAACAGAAAAATAAAAGGCCTTTAGTGGCCTTTATAGGCTATGAATGATACAACAAGATATTTAATCAGCTTTCCTTTCTCTCTTAGAACTGTGAAAGGTGGAAAGAAGAAAACTGGGGTTTTTTTTTCTAAACAAAGGAATGGCTTCTATGTTTCTTAACGTGAGGACAGCTTGGAATTATACAATAATGCTTTGCTGGCCTTACACTTACAGACTAATGACAATCAAAATAAATATTTAAGTTACGGTTTACATGCATTTATAGTTTAAATGATGTCAGAATAACAACCAGAATATATCTCTAGTTCATTGTCAGAAAATTCAGAGTAGTTGGCAATTCTTTTTTAAGTTTCACAAGGTTTCAAATTCAAAATCAGCAGTTCATTATTTCATTTTCTCAAGTAATTAATCACTAATATGATCTTTTTTCTATGCTTATCTTCTTTATAGATGTAAAGCAATAATAGATCAGTTTGGTCAAAGAATAATCTCTAAGCATTTTGTTATTGAAGACAGTTACCTTTCTGAGAACACGTGTTCCCGTGTACAGTACAGGTAAGGTGCCCTCCACCCATTACTCAAAGGATGGGAACACCTCTGGCCGTGTGGCTGTATTGACCCTGCTCATTATTCTGTTTGTCAAGTAGCATGCCAAGGTATACCAAACCAAAGGTATATGTATTTCTTATCTTTCTTCCCTACTTGGTTCTGTTTTGAGGGGAGCCTAGCAGAATTTTTTCTCCTTTGCGTCAGCTGGAGTTTGTCTGTAGGTCATGCATCCTTCTTTCTTGAGCCAAGAAAAGATTAAAGCAGAACTTGACTGGGTTTTGACACTTTTATCCTTATTTAAATCTTTGAAACATGCCTTCTGCTAGTTACATAACAATAAATGAAACTTAACCGTAGAATCTGAATCACTGCTTTCCTCTTTTGTGCATTGCAGGCAGTTATCCAGGGCAATCCTGATTACAGACGGGTCTGTACTAAAAACGGATTCAGATCAACAGGTGATTCAGTCTTCTATTTTTTTAATAAAAGATGCATCTGCTTAAAAGAGATATATGTGCATGGTGAAATTATTACTGCAATCAAACTAATTAACATATTTATATTTACAAAACATTTTATGACAAGAATAGTGAAAATCCACTCTTAGCAGATTTTAAGTTTATAGGTTTAGTAACCATAGCCCTAAATCTCTAAAACCGAGCTTTCACGTGGTTGGCAAAAGAGCACCTTTTGCTGGGCAGCCAGAGTGTCCTGATCTCCTAGGAGAGATTGATAACTATGATAGCATGTCTGCCTTCAAAATACCACATAGCCTAGGGGCACAGACACAGACAGCTAGGAAGTGCAGTTCAGTGCAACAAGGATTAGCCTGGTCTGTTTTAAGGAAATTATGTAACAATTAATGTTTCACTCATCACATTGGTCTGCAGCTCATCACAGTCGTCAGTTTATGTATCTGGATTTCCCATTAAAGTGCAGGCTTTGTGAATACATCTGAGGGGCACAGGACGATGGAACTGTGAAGAGACCAAGCTGTAGAGTAGGAGAGATAGGAATTGGTCCCTGATGAAGGATGTAGAAGTAAGGAGGGCTTTCTTTGCAAAGGCTGTTACGTATTTTAGCTCTTTGAATGGAGTCAGCAGTGTTGATATTCGGGCAAGAAGGAAAGTAATTGATGAATTCAAGTCCAGACAAAAGTCAGAGAGAAACCACGCCAAGCATTGCCCTTAGAAATATGAGGTGTGTTAAAATAAGAGGGTAAAAAAAAATAAGAGGGTGAAAATGGGACTATTTGTTTCTAAGTTTGGAAGTTGATTAATTCCATTCTTTAAATTACAAGGTGAAGTCCTCTCCTGAGTATGAGTTTTATAAGCAATTCAGACCTGAAAGAAAGATATATAATAATCACTATATGCAGTGACCTGTTGTATATACATGTTCTTGAGCAGTATTAATGGTCCAGTTAAATCTGAAGATTATAGACTTACAGGATCATGAACCTACTCCAGTCCCCCCATCTCTGTTAATCGTTTATTCTCATTCTGTCTGTTCATAGAATTGCCCCTCTATTTCTTCCGATTTTTATCATCTCTCTTTTACCCTCTTCCTTTCCTTTGCTGTAGATGCAATGGTGGGTACTCTTTCTAACACTTTCAGTTCCCATGCTGCCAGGGCCTTCCACTGGACCCTGGCTGTTACTTGTATCTATATCACTGAGGGCCACTGGGAAAGCTACACAACCAAGCAGACTGGGTCTCCCACCAAGCTGTGGTATCAGCCTCATTCAGATGGATCCTGTTCATGTCTAAATAATTCACGGGTTTCTCATCACTTGCTCATTCACCTCAATGACTAGTTATCAGTCTTTCCTTCCTAACACACACAGCATCCCAAAAGTGACTGAGAAGTCTGTGTCTTCCTCATCCATAGGTAAGCTCCTTCCCAGGTGCCCTTGATATATGCAAAAACCCTTTTAAAACTCAGTCTTTCATGCATACATACAGTCACATTGATGGAAATTTTAGAATTAAAACAATCAAAACAACCTCATGTCTGGTTCTGCCTCTGAGTACCCAGCCTCTCCCTTCATTTTAATGGTACATTCTACACAGTATACTTGCTGCTTCAGCTCCTGAACTCCCAGTCATTTCTCAACCACAATCTTGTTTCTGCCTGTATACGTCTACCACAATTTCTCCTACTAAATGCATTAAAAAGCATGATATTCAGGGTCAGGGGACATATTTTTATTGTTATTTTCTGCCAGGACTTTCTTGATGGCTTTTAACACGTTTTTTTCTCTCTTTCTCTCGAACACCTTTGGCCTCCATTCCCTGTACCCTCCTCATAGCAGTGACTGTCCCTTCTCTGCCTCTTTGAAGCTGTTTTTCTTTCTCTTCTGTTCTTAAATATCAGAATACTCCCTTCATCCAACTGCATCATCCTTCTTCCTGCACGCTCAAATGACTTTATGTTTTCCAATCCGTATTCTCAACTGCACATAAATGCTGAAGGCCACGTTTAGGAGGCCCAAGGGTGCCAGGCCCCCATGCCAAAGTTCTATTGGTTGACTATCAAGAGATAGACACTTAAAGCTGAGGTCACCACCTTCTGTCCCCACATTGCTTTTTTTTTCTCGTGTTCACTGCCTCTGACAACAGAACTGTTCTTCTAGTCACACAAACTTCCTTCTCACTAACATCTTCTCAACCTTTGTGTCCTATCCTTGTAATTCATAAAAGTTGTCTCAGTCCTTTCCTTTCCTGTGAACTTTAATGTCTCCATGCTTACAGTCTCTACCTTCTAACTTGTTCCCCTGCCTTACATCTGCATTCTTCTGATCTGTCCTCCACATAGCTGACACAGTTACAGTCCTTTATTTCCTTTAGCTCCTCCCTCCCTCCCTCCCTCCATCCCTCCCTCCCTCCCTCCCTGCCTCCCTCCCTCCCTCCCTCCCTCCCTGCCTCCCTCCCTCCCTCCCCTGTCTTTCCCTATCCCCTTCCCACCTCTCTTTAGAACTTCAATTTCAATTGCAAGTAGAACTAAGAGGGTTAGAGAATGGGAAAGCAGTGAGTGGACAGTCCAAGCATAGTTCATGGATATCAGAGAGTTGAGGAGGTCCTCCTTTACCATCTTTAAAACCTCTGCAGCTCTTGAAACAGTCGACTTCTCAGAGTTCAGGTGAGGGAGGTGCTCCAATACAATAATACTGATTGTATCTCAGTAATAAATTATGGTAATTGCAGGAACCAAAAGAAATTCTTCCATATTGATAGAATCATTAAAGGAATGTTTTTAATTATGGTCATATTTTTAGTCCCAGTCATTTCATTATTTCACGGTGCTCACTGTCTTGGTGATTTCTCTCTTTGATGCTAAAGTACATTTTCTGTCCGTAATAGCAGCAATGGGAGTTAAGAGGAACATGGAGAACTGTTTTTGAGCTATCAAAAGCCTCTAAATAGATGGCAAATAGGATAGTCATTGCTATCAAGACAATTTCTGTTTATAAAATGTATTGGAGTTTCTTCCTCTTTGCATTCCCGGTCAAAATGCAAGCACAGCACACGCAGAGAAAAGTGAAACTGGGGCTTTCTCTTTCCCTAGCACTTCTTTAAAAGGGTATAAATTGCTCAGATAGTAGATTTGACTGAGGACTAACACTGACACTGCAGCTCTGCAGAGAAACATTGATCTCATGGTCATGTAAAGCCTTTAAAATATGAGCTATATAACTTATCAATTGCAGATAAGACTACTTACTAATATAATCTGATTTCAGGGGTCAGAGTGCTTATATTCTAACAGTAATATTATAATTGTATTCCTTTGAATAGTATGTGATATGTGATGGGTGGAATCAGTATTAAAGATTTGAAATAGTCATGGTTTATGAGAATTATGCAAACATGAGTAATAAATAATGAAGACATTGGATATTGAGATATATGTGTTGCATGTTTTACATTTTACTCCCAAATGAAATCACTATAAGCAAAATATTTTCAAATATCAAAGGATATTTGGAACTATGAAGTTAGTGCTCTGAAGATAGAAATATAAAAAGAGACCTAACAGTTATTTCCGGTACTTGTTCTGGCTTTCAGATCTCCATTTTGACAGTGCCAGCAGAAGAACCAGGAAGTTTTGCTGTTCGGGTCATTGAGTTATGTTCTTCAACAATGACATGCATGAAAGGCACATGTAAGCACAGTAACCCCCCCCATCTCTCTCTCTCCTTCCCTTCCATTTTAGTTCTCCATTTAAAACTTTTAATTAGTTTTTAAAATTTTTATTAATATGTAAGACAAAAAGATACATATTGGATAAAACACTGTACAATGTATTAATTCATATTCGGAAGGTTCTTTACAGAAAATCTTGTCATCTGCAGTGACTGTTTAACGCCCAACCTTTTTCAATGTGGATACCTTTTATTACGTTGTCTTATCTGATTGTTCTAGCTAGGATTTCTTACACTATGATGAATAGAAGCAAGGAATGTTAGATGTGTATCTCTTTGAAAATTTACCTCCCTCTTTTTATCATACTAAGAAATGAACATACAGTCTCATGTATGACAGGTGATCTAGAACTTAGCCACAACTTCCGCCTTAAGTGGTCATTGTTGACTTTAACACAGTTTCTTTGCCTGTTGGCAGAAAATGATGATCAAGAGTGATAACAGTATGGATTAAAGAATTTGCCATTAATCCTAATAGTGATTTTTACAGTATTTAACATTTACACTGTATCCTAGAGAGAAGTGGGCTTCCCTTCTCTGTCTCATTTCCTTTAGTAAGGTGCAAGTTCACATTTCTAGAAAATAGCAAAATAGTACCATCCACTGGGAAGCAGGTGTTCAATAAACAGAACATTGGCAAACACTTTATGACCAAAGTATACCAGTACATAATTCCATTTTCTGTCTGAGCTATTTATTTCTAAATCTCTGCGATATATAAATGTTATACATGATCATGACATTTGAACATTTTTCCTTTGTTATATTTCAAGAAACACATTAGAGGGAACATGTGACATTTGTCTGTCTTTCTGTGTTACCTCAATATAATCTTTTCCAGTTCTATCCATTTATCTACAATGTTCATGCTTTCATTTTTCTTTACAGCTCAATAATCTTTCATATAGTATATGTACTACAGTTTTATTGCCAGTTGAAGGACATTTAGGTTGTTTCCATTTCCTAGATGCTGTGACTAGAAAAGCAGTGAACTTTGTTAGGTATGATCTCTAGAGTAGGATGTAGCGTTCTGTGGGCATATGGGAAGAAATGATGTAGGCGGATCATGTGGTAGATTTATTTACATAGCCTTTGGGGGTTCTCCATACTCATTTCCACAGTGACTGGACTACTTTGCAATCCCAACCGCAGTGAATAAGAGTTCCTTTTTCCTGCATCCCCTTCTTCATTTGTTTTTGGTTGTTCCATTGTGATCAGGGTAAGACAAAATCTCAACGTTATTTTGATTTGCATTGGTATTTTTTTTCTTCTTTTGAAAACGCTGTCTAGATCTCAAGCCCACTAACTTTTTTTAATTCTTTATATTTTGGATATTAATCCTCTGCCAGATGTAGAGTTAGCAAAGATTCCCTCCCACTTTGTGGGCTTCTGAATGTTTATAAAGCATTTAATATAATGTCTATCAAAAACAAAGTATATAATAAATGGCAGCTGCTGTTGATACATTACAGATACACTGGGTTATGGATTCTTCATGTAGCAAAACATTATGCATTTTTAATTTTCTTTTTTTAATTTAAAAAAAATCATGGATTTTCCCCTACCCCAGCTCCTCCCAGATATGCCCCAATTCCCTACCCATCCAACTTCATATTCTTTCTCTCCTTCTCTTAACAAAAACATAATAACAAAAATCATGGTAAATCAAACAACAATCAAACAAACAAAAGAAAAACTCAAACAATACAAAAGAAGAACAAATTCATTTTGCATTGGCCTGCTATTCTTGGGCATGGTGTCTGCTTTTGAGTGTGGTTGGTTGATAAACTCAGCGACACTCTATTGGAGAAAACTTACTCCCCTTTCCTATAAGATATTAATTGTAAATAGCTTCTTGGTTGGGTGTGAGACTTTGGGTCTACTCTCATTTTTAGTGCTGGAATTTCTGTATGGCTTGAATATTTATATAGGTCTCTGTGTGCTGCCAGAATCTATGTGAATTCATATGTCCATCATTCCTGTTGTGTCTGGACGACATTGTTTCCTAGGAGTCATCTATCACCTCTGTCTGATGTATACAATCCTTCCATCTCCTCTTCTATGTCGATCCCTTAGCCTTGAGGGGAAGGTTGATGAAGACCTCCCATTTAGGACTCACTGTTTCAAAGTCTCTCACTTTCTGTGCATTTTCCAATTATGGGTCTCTGTTATTAACCATATACTTAAATAAGAAACTTCTCAGATGAGAGTTGAACTGTACATTGATCTATGGGTATATCAATATGTCATTAGTAGTTATTTTCTTGTCATGTTCCTTTCATAGAATAATAGTAGGTTTTCCCCTAGGCCCATGACCAGTTTGGTCAGAGATTCTTGGTCATTTTAGCAGTGTCAGGTATGGTTTCCATTTCATTGTGTGAACCTCAAATCCAGTGAAAAAGTTGTTGCTCTTTCCCATCATATTAGTGCCAGGAAAGCATCAGTGTGTCTTTCAGTCAGGATTTGTAGATGGGTGATTACTTTTCTCTTCTGCTACTTTACAGAGTACCTTCTAGCACCAAGAAAAAAGACATCAAAAAACCCCCAAATAATCCAATTAAAAAATGGTGTATAGATCTAAATAAGAGAATGCTTTAAAGAGAAATTCCAACTGGCCGAGAAACTTATAAAGAAACGTTCAGCAGCCTTAGCCATCAGGGAAATGCAAATCAAAATAACTCTCAGATTCCATCTTATACCTGTCAGAATAGCTAAGATCAATAACACCAATGACAATTTATGCTGGAGAGGAAGTAGAACAAGAAGAACACCCCTCCATTGCTTTTAGGAATGCAAACATTTAACGCCACCTTGGAAGTCAATATGTTGGTTTCTCAGAAAATTGGGGATCTGTCTACCTCAAAACCCAACTATAATACTCCTGGGCATATACCCAAAGAATGCTCTACCATACCACAAGGACACTTGCTCAACTATGTTCATAGACACTTTATTCATAATAATCAGAACCTGCAAACAACTTAGATGCCCATCAACCAAAGAATGGATAAAGAAAATGTGGTATATTTCCACAATGGAGAATTACTAAGCTATTAAATACAGTAACATCATGGAATTTGCAGGCAAATGGGTGGAACTAGAAGAGACAATGAATTGGTTTCTTAATCTACTGTGTCTCTTTTATCCACTATAAGTTTCTCCTGTTTAAATTTTTATTCATTTAAAGTATTTAATTTCTCTGAAGATGTGTGTCTGTACTGCTAGGAATGTAGCATATGCTAAAGAATTGATCTAACTTTGTAGCCATATCCCCTACCCTGGGAATATCTAAGTGTTCCTTAGAAATTATCCTAAATTATTTTGAAAGAAATCAAGCTGGACAAGCCTCCAGAATTTTCATGTAGGGAAGAAGCCACCAGTCAAACAGACATTTTCGATAATGCATGGCAATATTTTAAGCAAACTAACCAAGATATTTTGGCTTCTGAAGCCCTTGATCTTGATCTCTCACTTGTTTTCAACCTTGATAAAATTCTCTGTTCTTTCCTGTAACTTAATCACTTTATCTCAATATAATACCAGGAATGTGAACAAATACACTAGCCGTTTTTCTCTTGTTTCTAGCCTGAAAGAGAAAAGTTTGAGTTCACCTTTAAATCTAGTTTTCATTCATTTTATAAGTTACTAGAATTAATGTATGATGTAATATGTAGCAAGACTTAACAACAATACTAAGACAGAAACTGGCATGTTTAATCATTTACTTACTTTATTACTTAGTATTTGGCTTCTGCCTTTTCTTAAAGCCTCTTCACAGACATTCAGGAGCAGTTTGTAACTCAGATATTAAAGGTCCTTAATGGCGTATTTTCCTATTGTTCCCTTATTTAAGAGTCATTGATGTCACATGTGGTTTCAAATTCTTCTGTTCTCCATCCGTCTTGTAAAATAAAATTTGTCTGATGTGTCACAGAAGACTTTCCCATGCTTGTTCCCATTATCTTCCTTTTTCCTTTTCATTTTGTTTTTCTCTATCTCAAGTCATATACTATGCTTTTGTTTTGTGTGTCCCAATCTGATCCCACCTCATTTATTTTTCTCATTTGCAGCTCCCTGATGATAAAGCATGTTGCTTCATTCAGAATGTTACACCTCCATTCTCTTCCAAAGTACTGTTCTATCTATCTCTTTTGAGGATTTTCTCTTCTAAAGCTTTCAATAAAGCAAATTGTTGACACAATAGAACATGTTCTTAAAATGTGCATAATTATCTCCTTAGTCTAATTCAGAAACATAATCTAATCCTTTCTCCTGTCAAGCAGCTTGGAAATGATAAATAGGACTGTGTGATGTGTTAAGAACCCACATTTAGATTCTCTCTTCTGGATTTCCCATATTTGCACTAATTTTAGTGAACTGTAAGTGAAGTGCAGGTTGCTTATGACTATCAACAGTTTAAACAACATTAAAAAATAATTCCACATGTGCAAATTTTGTTTTCAGGCTCTTAACTATAAATGCATTTTAAGTGACTTGTTTTCCCTGTGTATTTAAGATTAATAGAAAAATTACTAGTTGATCACATTGTATATAATATAATCAGCTTGTCAGGTTGTTCTTATCCTAAAAACAGGCTATAGTAATGGAAGCCTAAGTGAAACTCATCATTCTTTCTATTGGAGGAATCACTTGACAAATGTTGGCAAGCACTAGAACTAATGCAGTTATACCTGAGTAAATCAAATGTCGTCCAAATATATTCCACTGAGGCTGACTGTATCCCTTCCTCAGAGGAAACAAAATGAAATTTATCGAAAGTAAATTATGGAACTTTGGTGATTTAAGGTGACGTTGTTTGTTAAATACATTTAAAAATTTTCAGACATTACCCAAGAGCAAATTAACTTGTTTGTAAGCTGTACTTTATATGTGATTATGACTTTTGTCATGAAGATGGGCAAAGACATAGGGATTGAAAGATCCCGAAATGTTAAAAAAT